CTCTACATGGTTTTATTTATTTATTTATTTATTTATTTATTTGATTGATTGATTGATTGATTGATTGATTGATTGATTGATTGATTGATTGATTGATTTGATTTATATCCCACCTATCTGGGTGACTCATCCACTCTAGGCGGCTTACAATATAAGGTAAAACAATAAAATGCAGAAGAGTACATAATTGTTCAATAACAATTGTAATAAAATAGAGGAATAATAAAATAAAGGAAAATAAGAAAAGAGATCAGGTATTGACTGGAGAAAAGGGACGTGGTGGCGCTGCGGGCTGAACCGCAGAAGCCTGTGCTGCAGTGTCAGAAGACCAAGCAGTCATAAGATCGAATCCACGCGACGGAGTGAGCGCCCGTCGCTTGTCCCAGCTCCTGCCAACCTAGCGGTTCGAAAGCATGCAAATGCAAGTAGATAAATAGGGACCACCTAAGTGGAAAGGCAACAGCGTTCCGTGTCTAAGTCGTACTGGCCATGTGACCACGGAAGATTGTCTTCGGACAAAAACGCTGGCTGTATGGCTTGGAAATGGGGATGAGCACCGCCCCCTAGAGTCGAACACGACTGGACAAAAATTGTCAAGGGGAACCTTTACCTTTATTATTGACTGGAGGGAAGGCCTGGATGTATAACCATGTTTTTAATTGGGTTTTAAAGATTCCCAGCATAGGGGCCGTGCGAATCTCTGGAGGGAGGTTGTTCCATAGGTGAGGAGCCACCGCTGAGAAGGCCCGGTTTCGTGTTTTCTCCTTCCTGGCCTCTCTCGGCGTCAGGCTCCTCAGCCTCACCTCCTGACTCGCACGGGTGATCCGGGTAGACCTTGGTGGGAGCAGGTGTTCCGCTAAATATCGAGGTCCTGAACCGTTTAGGACCATTAGACATTAGTGAAACATTAGAGAAATCAAACACCCAGCACAGGAGGGGCAATGGCTTAGGACCACAATCAGCAGTGTTCCTTCATTTGACAAAGGACACTCTTTTGATGACCAACATGTACTCATTTTAGACCAAGAAGATAGGTGGTTTGAGAGAGGGGTCAGGGAGACCACACATTTCAACCTAATTAAAAAGGAAGTCCAGTTGCCATGACTCAACTTCTAGATAACCTCACCTGGGTGAAAATCTTCACAAATATATACACAGAAATACATGTTAAATAGAGCTTTGTAGTTCATTATCCATACAGATTTGTGTTGTGAATGTTTTCCTATATAAGGTGTTTTTTGATTTCGAGAGGATATTTTATTGCTGAGACATAAAGTTAAATAATTTGCCCATTAAGGGGTTACTAAAGTTCACACTGTGTGCTGCTAGGTATACACACAATGTGGTTTAACTTTGGACTGTGGTTATGATAATACGTAGATTGGTGCCAAGTGGGTGGTGTTGAATTAGGCTGTTTTGAACATGGATGTGGGATAATGTCTTGAATATAATCTGTGAGTTTTACTTGTTTGATCACACCCAGATATATATGCAGGTGGTATTTGAGCAAGAAATACTAGATACATCTACATGGAAGAGGAGAGAAGGTTGTTTAAATACAAAAACCTTGTTAATTGGATGCTTCTGAGTTAAATATTGTGTGGCATTTGTGCACATTCGTCACTCACTTTTTCTGGGGCATCCATATGGCATAATCGAATTCAACTCCTGTTATTTTTCTTGGAACTGTCCTTTTTCCACATTGCAGAAAAGTTGAACCTTTGTGTGTGTGTGTGTGGGGGGGTCTCTTCACGATAGAACTTAGATGTAGACAGTGAATGAGACCAAAAATGCATAAATCCAATGCACATACTTGAGGGTGTTCAATTCCATTTGAAACAGCAAAAGAGCATTGATTTAGTGATACAACATCTTTAGAAGCAGCTTAATTATTCACTATTTTAGTGAAAAACATTGAGATTACATATAACAAAAGCATAAAAACTGTGGTGAAGTAAAAGGTCACTCACTCATTGAATTGTGGCAAATAAAAATTTCTTCTCTGTGATTGAGATGTTTTCCAAAATAGTTGTATGTGGATGGATGAGTAAAACTGTTTGCAGTCTAGCTATTTTGTAGACTTCCTTTGCAGGTTAATTACTTGAAGGTCCTCAGTTTAATTTTCATGACTGTTGAATGCAGGTACATGGCAACAAATTTGAGAATCTGGCATTAAATTACAGTGGTGCCCTGCTTGACGACGACCCCGCTTGACAACAAAATTGCTTGATGAGTTTTTTGCTATCGCTATTGCAATCGCAAAATGATGGTTCCTATGGGTTTTTTCCGCTTTACGTTGATTAGGTCCTTGCTTCACGAACAGTTTGTTCGCAAAACAATGTTTTTTCCAGCTCCGCAAAATGGCTTCCCTCCCCTCGCAAAATGGCTGTTTTCTGGACGCCTCCTTCAGAAAACAGTGATTTTAAACAGCTGATTGGCAATTCTCTGTGGGCAATCTTCGCTGGACAGTGAGGTATTTCCCCATTGGAATGCATTAACCAGTTTTCAATGCGTTCCAATGGGTTTTTTCCCCCACTTGATGACGATTTCGCTTAACAGCGATTTTCCTGGAATGGATTATTGTCATCAAGCGGTGCACCATTGTAGTTTTAAACTTTGGGGGTGGGGGCAGAATTGTCATTTATACCCCAGTTCCAGTGGTTTCTATACTTATTTCAGTTGTTTTAAAATAAAATACATTCTTAAAGGATTTTTAAAAATGATTTTCAACAGGCAACTGAGAAATATTTTTGGAAGTAAGATTTAGTATATGTTTAATGAACTGCAAATACATGTATCTCCCAGCAGGCGCTAGAAAGTCTGTTTGTAAAACAGTTTTGATTTTTATGTGCTATCTGGTTCTCTTTATAGTAACTTTGTATTTCACATTAAGGGAAATTCAAGATTTCTTTCACAGTTTAGAAGTAATGGGCCTTTAATTTATATCACCTTTCAAAATGTTGTTGAACTTCTTGTAGAAACTTTAGCAGCTTTTATGTATACAATTTAAGAAAAGAGACAGAACTTCCTAGTAATAATGGAGCAAATGATCTGTCAAGTTTCCACATACATTTGGATATGTTTCCATTACTTTAAATTTCTGCATGTCTCCATGCTTAGGCTAATACTTGCCTGATTAAATATGTAAACAGAGAGTGCCCATCTTGCAGTTACAACTTCTGTATATGTGTTTTGCCTGCACTTCCAAAATTTGTATACACGACCTGACCGGTTTGCTTATGCCTGTCAGCTACCAGTCTTGATTGACTTTCCCACACTAGCAACAGAAAAACGGTTTTCCTCAGGATTACAGCAGAATTCCTCTGTGTCTTCCTATATCATGTTAATTCTCAATCTCCATCTGAAATCGCCTTGTATTAACTGAATTAGGCCATGGGTTCATCTGGCTCAATATTGTCTATAAGGATTGATAACACTCCAAGGTCTCAGGTGTGATTCTTTCTGCAACCCTCCCTGGAGGTGCCAGCCATGGGATCTGAGACCTTGTTTATACAAAGTATTTGTTCCACAACACCCCACATTGGTGCAGATTGCATTTAATCTACATCACAGCTACCAAATTGCTGCAACTTGCTTACTACACATAAATAAGCAAATGTGAGGATTCTAAAAGACCTCCCCCCCAATAAATTCTTCCATCTTCAACTCTTGCTTTCAGCTCTCAACATTTATTAACTTAGGTCCAATAGGGACAGTAGTAACAACTTCTCTTTCCCCAATAGGGACAGTAGTAACAACTTCTCTTTCCCCTCCAACAAGGCAAGGAAAGGGTTCCTGGATTTTCCCCCTTAACAATTCTTTCTCCTTTCGATCCTTCTGCCCAACGGTCCTGCTGGTCTGCATCAGGCATGGACCTGATGCAGCAGAATTAGCAACAGTGGCATGTGTTCTCTCTCCCACCACTCTGCTTCTTCCTTCCTGTCAGCCCACCAGTGTGAGGCCTCAGGGAGAGATTCTGTCCGTCCTGAGGTTAGGGTTTCCTACACTTCTCCACACATTTTCCCCATTCTGCTGTGACTGCTAGTTCTCTCTCTTTCCTCTATCTCTCCCACCTTTCC